GGCTGGCAGGAAAGTTGACATTTTAAACCTTAATATAAAAATCGATACAGGGCTTTAGAATATCGATACAGTATCGGGAAATGAAATATCGCGATATTTCAGCGTATCAATATTTTCTTACACCCCTAATGGATATTATAAAATATTGTTTCTTTATTTCTTTCGCCTGAAGCTTACATGTTAATTACGTTTCTTTATTTTTAAAAAATATATCTAAAATATACGACTATACATGAGTACCCCCTGCTGGGCTGATTAGCTTGCCCTCACTTGTCCCGGCGGAGTTGACCCTCTGCACAGCCACCTGGCTCCAGGCTCCAGGGGCAGCACCGCAGTCCACCACGCTGTAACCCGGTCGTAGTATATGGAACTTGTCGTCTATCTCCAGCAGCTTGAAGGCGCTTCGGCACCGATAGTTTAGTTCGTGAGAAGCTTTCACATACGGGTCTTTAAGCTGCCGCGCCAGCCAGCGATGCTCCACGGCTGATTTCCCACTATGCTTATGCTTCTTCATTAAACTCAACGAGGAGTGAAAACATCTCCTTTGTACAGATGACCTCCACATTGTGCTMCGGCTTTGCTATACCGCCAAATGCGCATGCGTAAAAAACGTACACGATTTATTTGCGTCCCCTCATTCTGAAACATAAARAGTAGGTTCCTACATAATTGTTCTCAACAAAGATGGTTTTCAGCTGCTAAACCCCATACYAATGCTAAATAAATATTTAAAATTTAAATTGATAGCTAAATAATAAGCGCTTGACTATACATGTCTTATATAACTCAATGTTTGCAAGCTATGCGCTACGTGTTTCTTGTCGGACATATTTCAAGGAAGGACGTCATGTTTAGCAGATCTCACAAATAAATGATGGACCACTTTTCCGGCCCCTCGCGTTAATTGGAGTCCATCCGTGTGTCATGTGATCATGTAGTGACGTCTGTAAGTTCAACGCGGGAGTCTCATTTGTTTTGTTTTTACTAACAAGGTAAATGTTTATGTTGACATGATTGAGCGTTCAGCTTTAGTTTCTGCTAATGTTTGCTGTGTGTCTGTATCAGAGTCCCAGGTCACAATGTTGAGCTCCAAGCTGCTGACTCTGGTTCTGGTGGTCCAGCCGGGCAGGGTTCTGCTGGGCATGAAGAAGCGCGGGTTCGGGGCAGGAAAGTGGAACGGGTTCGGGGGCAAGGTTCAACCTGGGGAGAGTATTGAAGATGCTGCTAAAAGGTGCATTTGGCTCATGCAATTCTTCTCATGCGTCAAAAAATCATTTTAGGATTAATATTTGATATTTTTTAGCATCCCGTAAAAAGTTAGAGTGCATGTGTTAATGAGAGAATAGAAAAACAGAGAACAAATTGTTGATGTCAGAGTATTTTTAAGTCTKGAAGGAAATTAATATTGCAGTCTGAACAATGTGTGACTAATCTGTAAAAGGTTTGCTCCCTAACTGAAGGAATGAAGCCCTGCAGCCAATTAGGCCAAGTCCAAATCTGRTCATTTTCTTCCACGCAGACCAGATCTTAGTACAGGATTGTTACATTTAGACATTTTATATCTACATTGACGTACTTGGTAGAGGTAAATATATTAATTTTCTTCTGTTCTGCTGAACATCTAATCTGGGAAATGAATCAGATCCCAATGCACCATGCTGATAGATTTAAAAACAACCTTGTGTCAAACGTTGCGCTGGCATTAACGTGAAAGTTCAGCATCTAAAAGAAGCAGCATTAATTAAAACACTGTGGGTAAAAGGGAGCTTTAAGTTGAGGTTGGAAATACAAATAAGTCTGCTTACAATTATCTTGAAATTTAAGTGTTTTGTTCAGGCTTTTAATCCTAGTTAACTTAAGCATACAAAATGGAATATTTAGGGATGTGGATACAATTATTATCCCATACRGATATCAACTTTGATAGTGGATTTAAAAAAAACGTTAAAAACTCTACCAAAAACACCAAAATCATGGGATTATCTCAAGTTTAAAAGGAAGTTATGGATGTTTGTTTAGGTTTAATCAAGCTCATGATTTCTGCCGCAATTCATAGCTGAACCAATAGAGTCTTTGTGACCATCTGTTTTTGCTCCCAACTTCCTTAATGTTCAAGATATTTCCATGAAATTTCAGGGAAAGATCCATATTTTTTGTAGGAAGCATCTTGTATCCTTAAAACAATAAAAACATTTCAAAATCCAATGTAAAAATTGCAGAAATTTTTTTTAAAATAGTGTTACAAGGCTCATGTCACTAAACTGCAACATCAAATCAAATCCARGTGTCTTGGAAAACCAGGAAATGAAAACCATTTAAAAACCATGTGGACGTTTGTTTTGTAAGCAAAGCTTCTCAACCAATGACAGCGTGCGAAATGTGTCAAGTGACGAAGACGAGCGTCAACACTCTGCTGACATGGGCCTTTGTGTAACAACAAAAAACATCAGTGTTTCAGATCATAATCGAATTTGAACAAAGGCTGATAAAATAATGTTCTTAATGTAAGCTTACCTATTCAAAGGGTCACTAGAAAAACTCGAATGATTGAATTTGATCCCATTTTCAYTAAAGTGGTTCTTCACAATGCATTGACAGAAATGAAAACCTCAAACYAGTCTGCAGCTAACTACCGGACGTCAGCACAGATTGTTGAAATTCATCACAGCAGCTGCTGAGGATACGTCAACATCCCTAAAATATGTCCTGGAAACATTGATATTAGAACTAGGGTTGGGCAAAATCATATTGTGTACAATTAATTGTCAGAAAAACTTTAATTAATTATTTTTGGCACTAATATGATTAATACCACCGGGCAGACCGACTCGATGCTCCTCTCTGCTTCAAATATGACGAACATTGAAAAAAAGTTCTGTAATTTATTTATCATAACTCTGGTTTTACTTGGTCTATTCAACACCATTTAAAATGATTGTATAGTCTAAAGTCTGTACCTTTGACACAATTTGGAACAGATTTTTATAGAGAGCAAATCMTTCCCACTAGAGTGATTTAAACTGGTCATGTGACTAGGGCAAGCAGGCGTCCAAGGGATTAATCGACATATTAATCGTTATCAACTAAATACTACAATTTTGATTAAATTTGCTGCCAATATCGCTCAACCCTATTTGTGTTTTTTAATGCTCATTCAGAAATTTACTTTGTTTCAGGGAACTTGAGGAGGAAAGTGGCCTCACTGTGGACGCACTGGAGAAGATAGGAAATATCAAGTTTGAGTTTGTCGGGGAAACACAGCTGCTCGATGTCCACATCTTCAGAGCCGACGCTTTTAACGGGGAACCAACAGAATCCGATGGTAGGAGAAATGGAAGTGTTTGGGTTTTTTTTTTTGTTTGTTTTTTTAATTTTATTTTAGAAACCAAATTCCTTATGAATTAACAGGAAGACGAGTGAGCAGAGAGAAAGTAGTTTGTTTTAACTCAATAGAACTACTGTATGTCCTGATGCATCTCAGTAATCCAGGTAAAAAATCAAAAAGAAAAAAATTGTACAGGTCTTCTGGATGGGTTCTTCTCAAAACGTTTCGTCTCTCCTCCAAAAGACTTCTTCAGTTTGAGAGTTTCAGGCAAAATTCAGGCTTTTAAGCACTGCCTCCATGTGACTGATACTCACATCACATGGCTATCATTGACACCTAATTAGCACCTATTGTT